CCAGCCAAAACCGTTTTCCCGCCCAGTGGAAATTAGGATTTAATTCGCCTACAGTTGTTTTTCTGTATATGATAACCTCGGCCTGCTTGTTCATGTACAGCAAAATGGAAAACGTGACTCTAAAGGGCAAAGTGGACTGCCTAAACTTAAGTGCTTCGAAAAAACAAAGAAATGGCAATTTTTTAAACGCAAGAACATCTCTGGGAAATATTACATCAAAAGAGATCCAGAATTAAAGTATCAGTTGGCATATTATCAGTTGTCAGTTTTTTGTTACATGAGACACTTGAAATTAAAGCGTCCATTGTGTTACACTACCGCTACTTAAAATAATGATGCTTCGCTCTTCTTAGCACTTCTAATTTACAGATATCTGAAAAGCGACTAAAGTGGCTAACTATCTTAATTAGTCAAAATTTTCGTAATCAAAACTTTGTTCAATCACATCAAGTGTTCTTAAATTAACGAGTAACACAGATTTCGTTCTTGAAAATCTGGGTATCGATAGCAAAAGAGTTTTTCGCCCGTTCTCAAATTCCACTGTCGAAAATTCTGCATGGCTCTGATTGCCCGCAAAAAAAACATGAGGGTAATTATCTTCAATTACTAGAGGATCACGATCTTCAAACGGGAAACCATCCACAGTGTCAGGTACTGTTGGAGCAATATGCTGGTATAGGAGCACACGCTTTAAAAGGTCAATACTTGTTAGTTTTTCGGAAAATCTTTTCAAGTCAATGATATTTTGCCCTGAAAAACTTCTTTTACTAGCGTTGCTAGCGTAAAGATCTGAAGCAAAAGGCTGATCGATAAAGGATACCGCTGGTCCCCAACATATGGACACCATCAAGCGTAAATTGGTATGGATTTGGCACTAGCTTTAACATCTCGCCATAAAGTGAAGCCCTTGGAAAAACGGCTCTATGAATTGGTTGCTGTGGTATCAAGTGTGTTGCCGGGTCGCCAGCACCAGGCATCACATCCACTTCAATTGAACCCTAAAAGCTTGAATTTTAATAAAAAAACATCAGCTCTCTTACCTTTAAAGTTGTTGAAAACACACAAAACAAAATTTTAACACGGGTTTGGAAACAATTTCTTAAAGTACAGAAAGTTGCAGATGCTATCAATAACCTAAAAAATACTCTGACTGCTGGTGAATAAATTGCAGCAGGTAAGTTTGTAATACCCAACAATTCACTCAAGAAAAATAAGCGTTCACCGGTGGATGATTTTGAAGAACAAAAGTTATACAGTACTTAAATACTACATGTCAACTGTAACATCCAAACCGTGATTCTGGAAATTAACTTGTCTATAATAGCTGCACTTTCGACATTCGGACACTCTTCAGTCTTAATCAAGTATCTCGCCATTGTTGCATACTCTTTGCCCTGAAATAATGGTAAAGTTCATACTAAACAATGTACCTAACAAAAAAAAAAAAAAATGAAGTCGAATTTCTGCAGTTAATTTATTGCCTTAGTTACTTCAGAAAAACTGGATGATCCTTATTACACATTTGTGCTCCTAATAATTTTTCCTACAGAAATTACTTTCCAAGCCTCAAAAATACTAAGATTTCAAACAGTGCTGTTTCAGTAGTTAAAATGTGCGCATATCTTTTTTTTCTCTGAAACTTTTAGCTTTTTTTATTCTACCCGTTTCCCGATTAGCAATTCTGTAAACCACCTTTTCTTATGAGTGTATAATAAAAGAAGTTCTTATGCAAGGTAAGAAATTTACAGGCAGAAGCAAATCATTGAACAAATTTTGAAAAGCATATAAGAGAAGGCTTTAAAACCATCTTTCCCTGATACTCAGAGCAATCATGCCAAAAAAGCCCTGAATTTTTAAGGCTTAAATAATAGACCACACTTAGCTCAAAAAACTCAATTCAGAGTACACACAAAAGATAAAAATCCCTTGAGAAATGACTATGAAGACAATACCAAAAAGCTTGATGTCATGCTAAAACGCATTCTCACACCAAATTAAAAAAAGACTGGAAATGCAGCAAAGTAGTACACTCTCTAAGCAACCCCTTGAAGGCAATAAGAAGAATAACAAACTTGATCGGTGATGGCAATACTCTCTCCAGCTATCACTACTCGACAAATACTCTGAATTATATTTTGTTCCTGGAAAGCAATTTTAATAATGAAAGTGAGGACGAAGCTGAACGACAGGTGTGAAACAAGAAAAGTACCCGCTGTGAAACCGGGAGAAAACCACAAAGCCATTTTTCCAACATATCCAAGCAAAATAAATCTGCCGCTTCATTACTTTTTACTCCAGATATAGACAACCCAGAAATAAACATTATATACCTAAAGTAAATAAGCTTTCACTTATCAAACTAAAAACAGTGAGCAGCAGTGCCCATTTCCTGCTATTTGCATTAGAGTACAACTGGATAAAAAAAATTCTGATAATAAACGACACCAAATTCAACAGAAAAACAACCTATCATTTTTTATGGATGGGAAAGGGGGCTGTGGTGCCATACTTGGCCATATAATGTCGTGAACTTCAAACACATCAGCCCTCTGCAAGACACCCCAAAAACCCACAATACAACCAGTAGCCACATCATTCATAGATATTGCACCATTTAAACGAACACGTTGATCATCGTCCTCAAGCTCCAAATAATCCTCCTTCTCCAGCAAACTAAATTTAACTGCTTTTAACCAAATGTGTTACTGTTCTGTAGGAGGCTGGTCGCGATCATAGATATGTCAACGAACTTCTCATCAGTCACTGCATCCGGTAAAATGAGCTCATGTGCTGCAATTGATCTTAAAACGCTAGGCCTCTGCCGAACGCGTTTGATTATAATACCGACGACAAAAGCTTGTGTGAGTTTTTTTAGATTCATTAACGACTGCAGTTCAATGTTACCTAAACTTCATAGATCACAAATAGGAGAATGACGTAAGTACAATTCACACAGCATTTAGAACTTAGAAAATGCTGAAATAAAGTAGTAACCTACAAAACGAATCAAATTACAAACCATATTTTTTTTTAGCAGCTTCAACAATGCGTGGCTTTAACGCGTTTATCCTCGCAGAGTATACGTGATAATACTGGCGGTGAAAACAACTTCCGGTGACATCTGAATCTTTCAGTAAATATCTGTCGGAGCAATTCTGGTAGCTTCCCCCACTACGAATTGCTTGTACCATTATTTAGTCCTTATGGTGTTAGTAATCATATCTGAAATGGAGAAATACAAGACAAAGCAAGAAAACCAACAGAACATCAAAACACTGACACCAAAAAACAAAGGCAAAAACTGATGCCGTTCATGGAACTTTAGATATCTGACTAAGCCAGCTGTGTTAAAGATACCGCAACCTAAGCGACAGCAGTTTGTTTCGACTCTGTTGCCGAAAATCCCGCCAAAACGAAAATTTGTATTTGCTGGAAAAATTTCAACTTTTAAAGCACACAAATGCGCCATTCTTTGCAAGATGGGGCACTTTGTTCACTTGATATTTCAAAAGTTTTTTAAACTTTGTTGATTGGTAGAGCCTGGGTCTGATACAAAAAGCCAAAGAAATGGTCTAGAAGGGAGATTCTTCCGCAAAGTCATGCCCCTGCCTCTCAGAATTGAAAAATTATCAGGTTGCTGCTTGACACGTCTGTAGATCGAAGGCTCGTAGTCTACTTAGCTCAACAATGATAGAATTTGAGTCTGCTAGATTTTCTGACTTCTGTTTCTGTCTTCTATAGTCGCGTTCATTTCTAAATTGTATTGCCAAGAATACGAGCGGGAAAATGCCTTGTTTTAAGAAAGGTTCCAGAAGATTTGTCGGAATGCCACTGTGTTGTACGGAAATGACCGGAAATTATGCGAGCAACCTCCGAAAAGTTACACATAACTTTTTTCTTAACACATGTAAATGATGTGCGACAAAGACATATTGTTCATCAGTCCTTAATTTGCTTGTTTTTCAAATTTCTTGCTTTTTAGCCTCCTTTCTGCAAAAATATTAGCAGAAATGTGAGACCGTCTTCGTTTTTCACATACCTTTCATCTTAATTAGTTTAATAACTTTGTTAATTGCGCGGAAACAGCTGTCAATTTTTTACTGCTTGATTCTACGTAATTGACAGTTACAGTATACGTGGAAGAAATATGGGGTCTAGACTAGTCTGATGAAGCTAGGCGATCTTGAAGTTACCATGAGAAAACCTAATTTACTAAAAAGTAAGGAAATAATGAAGTCAAAGTAGTAAATGAGTAAAAAATAGCGAAAAAAATAAAGCGGAATTGGAAGAACGGCAATAGTAGTATGAGCGCATGCTTCTACCGGATCGTTATTATAAGAGTTTGTGGTTTTGAAAGTAAAAAGTGAAGATTACATCAAATTTCTTGCATACAATTCTCAGCATTACCGTAGTCCCTACTAAAGTAATTGTGTTATTTGTGGACAGTCTGGTTAAAAGTAATATTCTGCATAATCTACGTAATAATCTGCCTACGAAAAATTCACAAAAAGCATACGCAAAAGCAAGAAAAACGAGAGAAAAAGAAGTAATAATACTACTGAGGAAAGAAAAAAAGGGAATAGTGAGGTGTACCGGCCGCGTATTATTTGAGGAAGAAGTACTTAGATGCTTTTACTCGAAATTATACTTAAATAAATATGTAATTAATACTTAAATACCTACTTTAAAAAATTTGAAAAAAAAAATAAAAAAATAAAAAGTATGTGTAAATATTCAAATAAATACTTAAGAATATATATATGTATATATATATATATATA